ACAGTTACTGGAGGTTTCAGTCCATACTCAGCTGGGTCCAAAGCAGAGCAGCACAGAGCAAAAAGCAACCTTTCATGGTGGTGGCAAAGAGCAAGAGAGCAAGGGAGGGGTAGCAGTAGCTCAAGCAGCTGGCTTCTCTTCCCACCTTACATTGTAATGCAGATTACCTGCCCCAGGGCAGGTGCAGCATCCACACCCACAGTAATCAATTACAAACTTCAGAAGCCATCCCAAGTGCATGAGGCTTTGGGGGGGACACCTAAACACAAACCATAACAGCTTTTAAATAGTTTAAACTGAAAGGAGTCAAAACTGAAGAGCGTAAATGAAGCAGTGCTAAAAGGGAGATGTGTTGCTTTTATCACTTACACCAAAGAAGACAGATCTGATATTGATAACCTAAACTTCTTCAACCTTGAAGGAACTACAAAAGGAACAGGATGTAAAGTAATCCAGCAGAAGAAAATAATAAAAATTAGAGCTCAGTAAAACCCAAAAATAAAAGCGAAAAATCAATGAAAAATTGGTCTTCATAGGGCGAGAGATATAGCTCAGTGGCACAGTGCTTACCTGGAAGCATGAGGTCATGAGTTCAATTCCTGGTACCAAGAAAAAAAAAAAAGATTGGTCTTTATACAAACAAAATTAACAACTTTTTGCCTAGGCTGACTGAGAAAAGACAGAAGATACACATTAGCAAAGTCAAGAGTGAAAGGACAGTACTGTGACTCCTACATAAGTTTTAAAAGATTATCAAGAGTTTGGTGCAGTGCCCCATGCCTGTAACCTCACCATTCTGGAATGTTGATTACAAGTTCTGGAAGGATTACAAGTTCAAACTCAGTCTGGGCAACTTTGCAACTCTGCAACTCAGTGAGAGCCTGTTTCAGAATTGAAAACTTAGGAAATGGCAGCGAATGTAGTTCAGTGTGAATGTCCTGAGTTCAGTCCCCAGTAGTGCCCCCACAAAAGCAGGGACTGGCCTGACCAGCTTCATATTACAAGATAGGAACTTTAGATGCAGTGAACAATTTGTTTAAAAAATACACATCATCAAAACTGACTTGAAAAACAATAAAAGCCGAATAGACCTACAAGAAAAAGATTTTTTTTTTCTTTTTGGCAGAACCAGGGATGGAAGTCAGGCCCTTGCACTTGCCAGGCAAGCACTTATTCTACTGAGCCATCTCCCTGGCCTAAGAAAAAGATTTTTGAATTTATAATTTTAAATGTTTCCATAAAGAAAAGCCCATCATGTCCTAATGGAATATTTTCTGAAATTGCAAGGCTGGTTTAACATCTAAAATCAGTTGATGTAAGGCACCATCATAGATAATAGGATAAAAAGTGAAAATTTGAGGGGCCAGGGAGATAGCTCAGTGGTCTAAGCACCTGCGTAGGCAAGTACAAGGACCTGAGTTCAATCCCCAGTACTGGAACCCTGGGCCTGCCGCACCAGCCACTGAAACCAGGTATGGTAGTAAACACCTGTAATCCCAGCACTGGGGAGGCTGAGACAAGAGGATCAGTATGAGTTCAAGCTGCATAGGGAGATGCTATACCAAATAAATAAATAAATTTTACATCAGTATTTTAAGATGAAGATTAAGAAATTGACAGACAACAGTCATTGATGGTGAAAAAGCTTAACAGACCAGGAGTAGAAGGGCTTTTCTCAACATGGTAAACAGCATCTACAAAAACCTACATTTAAAATTGTTCTTAAGTCGAACACAGTGGTACATATCTGTAATCCCAGTGCCCAGGCTGTGGCAGGAAGATCACTGCGAGTTTGAGGCCAGCCTAAACTTCATAGTGAGATCCTGTCTCAAAGAAATTAATTAGCTTAATTAAATCATACTTAATGGTAAAAAGCATCATGTTTTCTCCAACACTGAAAATAAAACCAAGCTCCACTCTAATCATAGTGTATTAAATGTTATACTGAAGATTTGATGGGATTTTTTTAGGTTTTCTTTTTTTTTTTTAAGATATGATGTTTTTGTTGTTAACATGTATCTTTATGAAAATGTAAAGTCTAATTGCTGAAATGTACTTTGGTTTTCATTATGTGTTTATCTTTCCTTTTGAAATAGAATATGCTTCTCTGGGATCACTCTATGACTACATCAACAGCAATAGGAGTGAAGAGATGGACATGGATCACATTATGACATGGGCCACTGATGTAGCCAAAGGTGACATTACTCAGTGTTTTCTTGCATAATTCGTGGCAGCATTCTCTTGCTCTAATCTGGGGATTTATGTCAGAAAAATGTTACTCTGTGTGTCCTTAGGTACTCTTGCTTTTGCAGATAAAAAGGAATATGAATTCTTCAGTTCACTGTATAGATATTTTAGGTCAGTTTATTTCTACTTCTGAATTTGTTTTCTCTTTTTTCCTCTGTTCGTTTCTTTCCTTAAAATTAGGTTCTATGAAGTCAGCAAATTCTAGGGCAGACATTTTTGCCAAGTTTTGTGACTTTGTAATTGAGCAGCTCACTTTCAGTGCATATTGTGAACATTTCTCTGCAGTATCTAAAAACACGGTTTATTGTAGGTTTAGTTCTGTTCATTTCATATACAGGTACTTGCCAAGAAATTATTTGTCCTTCTATATATAAATGACTCAGATTTTATTTTATATTTAATGTAAACTTGAACATCACACTTGGAAATGACATTTTAATACATAAAGTCCTTAAACAAGATGCCCAGTTCTCCCTGCCCCCATAAATTTCTTTTTAGGTTAATGGTTTCTAAAGCAATTCAGATTCCATTTAATGAGCTGGGGAGATAGCACAGCAGCTTAAACACCTGCTTGGCAAGTGCAAGGTCCTAAGTTTGATCCCCAGTACCAAAACAAAAAGATTTTCAGTTATTTTTATCTTTTGTTCCATTTTTCTAACTGAACATTTTTTAGTTCTATTTATAACTTTCAAAGTTGCTTTGGAAACAAGTTGATCTCAGTAATGCGTGCTAATGGTTATATTTGTATTCTAGCAACCTGTAGGAAGTATCTCTCCATTTCACTGGGGCAATGAAATCCTTTGCGTTTTACTATTCCATTCTGGTAGTATCTCTTTACAAAGCAAATACAGTGTTATATACTCCTCAATGAAGAGAAGGAATAGCTCATACTTTGCTGAGCTCATACACTGCAGAGTCATGCATTGACTCCCAGAAGTAATAGTCTTTCCTTTGGGGAATTATCTGGCCTGTTTAAAGTTTCATCCACACCACCAAATTCTTTAAATAGAGAAAGTGAAAAAAAAAATTCTAAAGTTTCATGGTATGTACTGCTACCAACTGGTACTTCATTACCTAATAAGAATAATGAGCTCTGTGTTTAGGATGGAGTACTTAAAGCTTTGGCTGTGCTAATGAACTTAATTGTACATTCATGCATCATGCATCTCAAATCAGCCTTAAGTTTCATATTCTTCAAGCTCTTTTGGTGAAGCATCATAGTTCTCTGCGTATCAGTAGTATGTAGGACCACAAGTGTGTAAGTTAGCAGGATGATAGGCTGTTGGGGGAACTGCCTGCAGCATTATGGAAATAAGCTTATGTCAGTGTAAGTGCATATACAAGCAGTTCTTGACACATGGCGCTTTGCTTTACAGACTTTTACATTAGGGTGCTCAGCAAAATATACCCATGTTGTTACTTAAGGGCATTATGGCATAGATATCGGAGAAACATACTGATATCAGACACTTGCTTTCCTGTTCTCTACTTCGGGATCCCTGTAACACAGCACAGCGCTGCCATACCAGCTGTCTGAGGGCCAAGTCTTTTGGCTCCAGAACAGATAGGTCATTCTCCAAAGTTTTTCAAGAATGTTAGCTCTGCATTAGAAGGGTAGAGAGGAGAAGTGACAGAGGTAAGTAGCAAACTGGAACCAGAATTAAAGGAGAGAGAAGTGGACGATAGGAGTATACTTTCTGAACAGAGGCTTAAGATGTAAAGTAATAACATCTTTCTGCTTGGTTGGAGAATTGATCTGGAAGGCAAGAAGCAGTGGTTTGGCCTCTGCTGAGAAGAGGCTTATTTATATATAATCATAAATACTATGTAACATTTAAAAATCCTTTTTGATGGCCTTAAAAAGGAAAAGAAATCGATGCTTTAGAATGACTTCAACCTTCTCCTAAAAAGCTAGGTGTAGAATTCAGAGATTAAATAGGAAGACTTCACTTTTGTCGATTCTGTTTCAAATTCAGCAGTGCACTCCTCAGTTTGACTGAGATTGAAGCCACTGAAGCAACAATGTTGAGAAATCAAAGAATGAATAATTCATTCCAAATAAGAGTTGGCTCATGCATTTTGAAATAGGCATTGCTCAACATCATTGCTGTTGAGACAGTACATCCTCAAAGCTGAAAAGATTATCTTCATTCTGGGTAGGAAGAAGAACAGGGTGGGTGAGCTGAAATTGCCCCAAGTCATTCAACAGTGCATAAAAGCATTGATTAAAGCAGACCAACCTGTGTCCAGACTGGAAGGGGTTATTGGTGACTCCAAATCTCCCCAAAAATCTCCTGGTGACACCTGTCAAATCATTTTTAGAAAACCCTCAATGCTAAACCTGATAGAGGTATTTACTAGCTTTTTTAAATGATTTGCAATAAAAAAGCAGAATTATAAATGACTCTATAAAAGCAAATTAAACAATATTATATGGTTGTGATTAATACAGTGATAATTTATGTATACAAAGTATTATTTAAGTGAACACTGTACATTGTTCACAAATAACTTGTACCTTTTCTTATAATCTGCCTTGACGAAGAAAAGTGTCTGTGTTTTAAGCTTTTACCTTGAGTGTTGCTTTTTGAAATCCTAGTTACCAAGTGTAGAAATTATCTCTACCTTTAATAGTAGTTAAACCAATTTTAACCTGAAAAATTATTCAGAAATTTGAATTGAAAACAAGAGAAGTAACTGTGATTCAATCATACAGATTATTAGATGCCACCCAAGTTGTGAAGCTATTGAATTTTTAGTTTGATGTAGGTAGAATTTCTTATTAAAAGAGATTCCCTTTATCCCAGTTACATTTTGCTTTAGATCATTTAAATTAGTAATACTTTTGTTAACTTTTTCAGTGATTTTATATGGCAAGAGTTTAAATTTTTCCTCATTTTCTTTGTTCTTTCATGATTCTTCATGAAAGGTAGAATAATAGATTATTAATAAATTAACCTTTATAAAATTGAAATGTCCTGTATACTTTAAAAAGACAAACCATAGTTACTAAATTGTTTTCAGTGACTAGTTCATTCACAGTGAAACTTGTTTGATTTCATGAGGGAAAGGACTTTTCTTCCATTATTTAGAAAAAAGAACTTCAAACATAAAGGGAGAGGAAATGCACATTAGAAAATTTCTTTCTATTTGTTCTCAGGGGGTGACAACATGCAAATACAGAAAGAGTTAAACACTACTAAGAGTCAAACACTACTAAAACCTGAAATATATCTTTTTTTGGTTTTGGTGGGTTAGGCTGCCTGAATGGCGGGTCTGGTAAGGCAGGTGGAGCTGGGGATGGAACCACCGTATCCTGTGCCTGACTGCATTTGCTTGAGCAGGCTCTTAAAACTGAGCTAACCAGCAGGCCCCCAAAATGTATCTTTTGAAGTACGATTTTTTAATTTAAAAATGATGACTTTCTACATTATAAGTAAGTATCTTGATTTAAAATATGTTAGAGAGAACTTTTGGATCTGTTTAAGTACAGATTATCTTTAAAATTTATCTTTGTGGGCTGGTGAGATGGCTCAGTGGTCTAAAGCACCTACTTAGAACAAGCTTAGCAAAGCACAGGGACC